GTGGGATCTGGCCATGCATCTCCGCGCAGAGGGTTCGTTTCAAGAGGGTGTCACCAAGATCATTACAAGCGCAGAGCGCCACGACGCGCTGGCGAAGTGGAAGTGGATGCCGCCCGACGGCAAGGGCAAAGGCAAAGACAACGACGGCAAAGGGAAGTCCAAGGACGGGTTCGGCAAGGGCAAGTTTCGCACATCCGCTCCCTACAATACCGCAATTCAGGTCCGCCCACCGTGTCGTCTGTTCGCCAACGGTTTCTGCAAGTATGGGGCTTCGTGCAAGTTCAGCCACTCCGGGACGGCGACAGCATCTACGCAGCCCGCACAGGCGCAGCCCAACCAGGGCTAGGGACAGCTCAGGGTCCTCCTTCCCCCCCTAAGCGTAGCCCCGACCTCCCTCTAAGTGCAGGTAGCGCGTGCAGTTCGCATCCGATGCCACAGCCTTTTGTCAGTCGCGCCCAGTCCCGCGGCCCTGTCGCGCCCAGTTGTTCCGCCTAGGTTCGGTTTAGTCCCCGCTCCCCCTAAGATTGGTGGAGAGCCCGTGGAGCCGAAGCCTTTGCCGCAGCCCCAGGAGCCCTTGGCCAGAGCTGGTCGCTCCGAGCTCGCCGCTCCGACGCACAAGGTTTCGGGAAATCAGCCGACGCCGAATCAACAGGTCGCAAGCTCAGGCCACAGATCAGGCAAGGTCGCACTGCTCTCTTTTTTCGACGGCATCGGCAGTGCTCACCAGTCGTTGTTGGATCTTCAGATACGACCCGTCGTATCGTGGTCGTGGGAGCTAGACGAGGACTGTCATAAAGTGGTTCGCGCACGACACCCAGAAGTCATACAGCAGGGCGATGCCATGTCCGCCGCTGAAGGAGCAGTGCCCCGAGTCCACGTTCGTCTTGGTCGCATGCGCACCACCGTGCCCAGACTTTTCGCAGATCAAGGGCGACGCAGCGAAAGGTACAGCCGGCTCGGAGGGCCAAAAGTTCGCTCAATGGATTCATCAGTGGTGGAGACCATTCAAGAATGCATGCAAGCTCAAGTTCGCGCTGATCCTTGAGAACATCGTCATGGCCAAGGAGACGCAGGCGACACTTGACGATATGCTCCGACACGGTCGCCCCACAGATTGCGTCCGGCATGGCCCGTTGGGGACATTGGAATCGCCAGTGGGAGTTGGTCCCTTCTAGTTCGCGGTTTCCGAGGCAGGTGGCTACACAGTGTAGATGTGGGAAATTCGGCGAGCAGGTCGAGTCCGGCTCAGTTCGCTTTCCGTGTTTAACCACGCCAGCTCCGACCTCGGAGGGCCGTCCACCTCCTCTCAAACGCACACGAGACGAGTCGCCAGAGACTTTGAGCAGATGGCGCAAAGACGGACAACAGTTCGCTCCGTGGCAGTACCGGGCGTACGCTCTGGTCGAAGAGAAGGGCAAGCTCGGCACCCCCTCGCCACCCGTTCGCGAATTTCTTCATGATTTTCCCGAGGGCTACACCAAGGCAGTTTCCGAAAGGTCGCGATGCAGACAACTAGGGAACTCGTGGCACCTCCCCACCAGTCGGTTTCTCCTGTTCGTGATCTTGCTTGCGGCCAAGGTCGTAGAGGTGACTTCTCAACTCAACCGCCAGTGGTACGACAACAGGCCGTTCCCCACGTTCGAGCTTCGTTACCATCCCGAAGGGTCGCGACCTTTCCTCAGGGCATGCTCATGGTGGCGGCGAAGTGGTTGTAGGTGGGACCCGAACGAACCTGAACAAGTTCGCCTCACCGGCCCCGGCGATGATGAGAGAGAGCACGTCGCATGGTCAACTTCGTTGACTTGGGAGCGACAACGTCAACCCGTGTCTCGAGTTCGCCTTTCAGCAACAAGAGCGCATGGGACCCAGGATTAACCACTGGAGGAGCTCAGTGGTCGAAGACATCGAGAAGTTCGTCGATGAGCTGGAGCATGAGCAGGTCGAGTGGATGTCGTCCGCGCCGGCCCACGTCCAGGAAGTTTACAAGCAGGGCACCTCCAAGTTCGCGGTGAAGTTGCTCGCGTTCGCGCACTTGCTCTACCTCCTCGAGTTTCCGGAGTGGCAAGACTTGGTCAGCGAGCTCTTTTGGGGTTTCAAGTTGCTTGGTCCGCTACCGCCTGGGAGCGAGTGGCTTCTACGACAGGACAGCAAGTACTCGTCTCCTTGGTCCAAGGAACAGTTCGTTTCCTTCAACAGGGCACACGCTTCACGACTTCTTTCTTCCTCTAAGGTCGACGAGCACTCGGTCGCCATCAAGAAGGAGGTCCTCGCAGAAAAAGCAAAAGCCAGGTTCGCGGGCCCTTTTCCCGACGAGTGGTTGCGGCGCCGCTCGTCGGAACAGCAAGTTTTCGTCGCCAAGGCCTTTCCCGTGGTTCAAGGAGACAAAGTTCGCAGAGCAGATGATTGGCTTAGGAGCGGCCACAACGCGACAGTGTGGGCTTCAGACTGCCCGCCGTACCAAGGAACACCCACGGTCGCTTCGAGTGTGCGCAGGGCCGCTAAGACTTCTCTCGACCGACGTTGTCGGCGGTCGACCACGAAGGTGCCTACAGGAACTTCCCCGTTCACAACCCGAAGGAGTGCGCGATGTTGCTACCGGAGGAAGGAGACGAGCGAGTCTGGCCTCACCAAGTACTTCCTTTTGGATCCTCGGGATCCGTTTGGGGATATATTCGTTTCGCTGATGCAGTGTGCTTCTTGTCAATTTCGCTCCTCAACATCGCCGCCGCTCATTTCGTGGACGATTTCTACAAGTGCGAGTCTGAGACGACAGCCGAACCTTCGTTCGCGTCCTTTCCGAAGCTCCACCGCATCATCGGCACCAAGATGAAGGAGGCGAAGGCCAAACCCCCAGCCAAGTCACAGACATTGCTGGGAGTCGATTGGCAGATGACGGAAGAGTACCTGTTCGCCTCGCCAGGTGAGAGTCGCATCGACAAGCTGTCCGCACAGATCAGCAAAATATTAGCAGAAGACGCTCTGCACCCACGCGACGCAGCCAAACTCGCCGGAAAGCTCAACTTCGCCTGTTCGTGGGTCTTTGGACAGGTTGGCAAGGCCCTGCTCAAGCCGATGTTCGCTCGACAGCACGGAGGCCTGCAGAAACCTGTCGCACTGGGTTCCCCACTCAGGGCCGCGCTTAAGGAACTCCCGAGCCTCAAGCCGATGCAGATTCCGCTTAAACCTTTAGGAGTACCGGTGTTCGTACTGTACGCGGACGCGTACATCACACTTTCAGGTTCCGTTCGTGCAGCTAACCGGTGGATCAGAGAGGGGATTCCGCATTCGATCCTAAGGGGCAGCACCAATGGATGGGGAGCAATTTTCTTTTCGCCGACGGGAGAACGGGTAGCTTTTAGGTCTGAAGTTCCGCGAGACGTTCTCGAGCGGACAGCAACCTCCAAGGCCTTCATTTTCTGGCTGGAGATGTTGGCTCAAGTTCTTTCTCTTCTAGTGGTCGCTTCCCAAGTTCGCGGACACGTGCTGTGCTTCGTCGACAACTCGGCGGCCGAGCACGCTCTACAGAAAGGTTTCTCCAAGGACGGCCTCTTTACGAAGGTGTTGGGATGTTTCGCAAGATTCTTGGCTTCAAAGAGCATCGCGTTGAGCTTTCACCGAGTTTCGTCCGCAGCCAACGCATCCGATGGAGTTTCTAGAAACGACTGGTCGCTTGCAACATCACTTGGATGTGTTCGGCATGACTTCAAGTTCGGAGAAGCCTACGACTGGCTCCGGCGTCTACCAGAACTTCCAGAGGACGCTCTCTTTACCGAGTTCGGCACGTTCGCTGAGGACCTGGGCGCGCAGAGAGTGGTGGAACAGCGCGCGAGAGTGGAGTGAGTCGCGCTGTTCGTACAGAACGGAGGGTCGCGAGATGGGACCTGAAGGGTCCCGGTTCGCAGACCGAGAAACCGCTCCAAGACTTTCGGGTCGGGAAAAAGAACGTCCGAGAGTTGGGAGGCGAATACTTTCGCCGTGTTCGCAACGCAGTAGTGCTTGTCGTGTTTTGCACGTGTGCAAAGAGTGACAAGCATGGCGAAGTTCCTGAGAGAGTACAGTTCCGGTTCGCTTTTAAGTCAGTTTCTCCAGTTTCGCTTGTTCGCAGAGAAGCATCCTCCGAAGCCGAGCTCCGAGGCCCGAGTGTGTCAGCTTTTTCGTTTACCCACCACTCCCGCCCGTGAGTCGCGCTGTTCGTACAGAACGGAGGGTCGCGAGATGGGACCTGAAGGGTCCCGGTTCGCAGACCGAGAAACCGCTCCAAGACTTTCGGGTCGGGAAAAAGAACGTCCGAGAGTTGGGAGGCGAATACTTTCGCCGTGTTCGCAACGCAGTAGTGCTTGTCTTTGCAGAGTTGGATGTTTGGGGAAGTCTGAACGGTGTGACACTCAGGGGAACTGCCGCGGGTGCGTCTCCACATCTGTTTGCGGTGATTTGGATTTTAGCGGCCAGCAACAAGACTTGTTCTTCAGCCCTTGTGGCCCTTGTGCTCCAGCGATTTTATCGTTTCATGGGTAATGCTGTTTCATTTTAAGAAGGGCCCTTCGGCATGTTGGTATAACGAAAATGGAGGAGGAGTCCAACATTTTCAAAGTAGCGAAGCTTGGAGTTTCCAAGAGAGAGAGAGAGGGGGAGAGAGAGAGCGAGAGAGAGAAGCAGATATCGTTCTGATATTTACTCGATAAGAAGTTACATATCGGTTTGCAAGTAAAGAACGCTCGAACGGACAGTTTTCGATCTCCCCGCAGAAAAGCCAAAGCTCATGGAGTACTCCACAATTCCCGTTTACTCCAGATGTCAGAGATGTGAGTCGACAGGATGGGCACGGTACGAATTTTGAAGAACAATGGGGAACAGTTACACCTCAATCTGATTTCAATTGCTGCCGTGTTGGCAAGCTGGGAAAGGGGTGATGGGCCCCGAGCCAACCCTGAACTTGTGGAAAGGCAGCAGGGCCCTATCGGGGCAAGATTTGCGTGAGAGAGCGGTTTCCAGACTTGCAGGCTCGCCAGACGAGGTTCTGCAACACGGATGTGGACTGTGAAGCGCCGGTAGACTGCCTCTTTGCATCGTCAGGGTCCCAGACGATGGTGTGCGGTTGTTTGTTGCCTGTGGTGTTCTACTGCATCTGTCTTTTTTAAGATTGGATGGATGATTACGGGGCTGTTGGCAAAGACGAGTCCGTTGATGAAGTGCATAGCAAGGGCGGATGCTGGAGGCAAAACGCTCGCCGCAACGCCTCCTAATGTGATGTTGTCTAAATCTCTCCATTGAATCGATGAGCCTTCGAAAAGTCCTCAACGACCGCTACCAAAGAACTGTAAGTGACATGCGGGACCGGTGCTGGCGTTGCTAAGCAAAGCGGGAGCACTGCTTCCCAGAGGGCATGTACAACATGTCGAAGCGAGAAGTCCATCGAGAAGGGACTTAACTCCTATCGCGGCGGCGAAGCCACAATCCGTATCACAATGCTGAGCTCAAAGCTCAATAGCCAAACATACAAGCCTCACAGCGCGCACCGGAAAGGTGCAAATCAAAATCAACGCTGCAAGCAATCACAAAATACAATTGTACATAACCACGGCCGAGGCCCTTGAATCAGTCAAAGGGAAAACTGATGCCAAGGCCTCCAACGGAGATCAGAAACCTAGCTCATCAAAACTTGAACAAAAATGAGCTCTCACAGAAGCCACTCAGTGGGTCACGTCATACGAGCTCAGTACAACGCCTCAGTGACCGAAGTAACCGAAGCCACGCAGCCCACCAGAAACCAAATCACAGTGTTTGGCGCACGACCTTGTCCAGCAGGGTCATGCTATCGACAGAAGCCAGCAGAGCCAGTCTCTCCGTCTATCCAAACCAAAACAAAGTCACGCCTGGATCCAAGGGGACACAGACGTCATGTCAGACAGAGTCACATGAGTGACATATCACCGGATCGAAACCTCCCCGAAGAGGAGGATACCATGTTTGTGGCGACCTCCGTGAACCCGAGTCGCCAGAGCCATCACCATTCCAGCAGAGGACACCGAACACCACGAAGACGAAGAAGTGGTTAGCCGAATTGGCGGCCAGTCTGCCACTGCACGAAGCAACCCAACCGGCACCGCGCTAATTTTGCCTTCCAAAGGAGGTGGCGTTCGTTGCAACTCCTAAGTCCCATGAGGTCCAGGCACTGCCATCAGGAACAGCACGACGAACTCGAGTCTCGCCAACTTGCAGGTAAGGAAAACCCATGCTCATGGCCAGGCGGTGGAAAGAGGACTCGTATCTGAAACATCACCATGAAAATGATGACCAAAACCAGCCACTAGAATCATCCATCCATCATGCACCAATCATAGCGCCACAGGCAGGTTACTCTTAGCATCCCTACCCCCCTAGGGGTCCCACCCTTGACCACGCGGAGGTGGTACCTGAGCCAAGAGCAATGTGATGTTGTCTCGTCCGTTGCATGGATGCTGCGACATGTTTAAGGTTCTGCAGGCGTCCTAGAAAAGCTGGCAGACATATGCTCGTTCACCTGATAAGGTGGTCTCAGTGGACCCCCTGCACCCGTACTTGCGACGGTTTACAGCGCCGCAACAGGCCAACATGGCAGATGTGGCATGGCAGAACACCAGGCGCTAGGATCCGTCTTATGCGGGCTGTCACAGGCGTGTCGACAGATTTGGTCGCGGCAAAGGCAAGTGGTGTGTTGGAAACCTGAAAGAAACAAGGCCGGAAGGGTAGCAATCTGCGGTAGAAAAGCATTCCAAGCCTGGTGCAGGACTTGCAATCCGGTTGTTGGAGATGCGCCGCCAGCAGGGTGCTCCACGAGTCCCATTGTGCCTGTGCCGTGAAAGTCGATGCATTCCCGGACTGCTCTGGGTTAGTGCTGACGTGAGGCCGACTGTCGATTCTCCATGTGGGGCGCCGGGAGCCTAGAGAGCTTGAACTTAAAAGGTTATTCACCTCCAGGATGGTCGCCTGATTGTGCAGTGCAGTTGTATGCAGTTGTAGTATGTTGATGTGTGTTCGTCATGAGGTTTGGTCGGTCTGCAGCGCCACATGCGACGGTGGCATGCACACACGTTCGAGGACCATCGTGTCCGAAGCTGCAAACGGGGGCCAGGCAGGACGAACATGATTTCTCTGAGCTTGTAGTTTAGCCGGATGCAGCCTGTGGGTCAGGCTTGCGAAGGTCCGATGACCCAAGTCCGCGAATGCAGTCGCAACGAATGTGTATTGCCTCCTCCAAGAGACTGCAAATTGGGTGACTGGCGTGAATGGGGTGCCTGTGGAAAGTGCAATGGCCAACGCTTCCGCAGCCGGAATATCATACAGTATGCCGAGAATGGTGGGCTGAACTGTGACGATGCAGACACGCAAGAGGCCACATCATGTCCGAGACAATGCCATGAACCATCCTACTGCGTGTGGTCGGACTGGGAAGCCTGGAGCAGATGTTCAGTGAGATGCGGCACCGGCCCCTGCCCCGGCGGTTTCCCAGCGCCCCAGTCCTCCTTGGAATAAAGGAGAAGTTGCGCGCACCGTGAGGCGGAAAGCGAAACAGAAGACGATGGTTGGAAATCACCAGCGACAAGTCACGGGCGCTGGACGTTCTTCTTCCCGTGGAGGACTGTGTTACACTCGTGTAGCCGCTGCTAGCTGTTCCTGCTTCCGATTCCTGCCGAGGACCTTCTGCAGAAGTATTCCAGGCTATATAGCCAGACGCAGGCAAAGATGGCCGACAGTCCGAGAGCCATGGACAGTGGTGCTGAAGCGCACAGGATTTGCAAGACTCACACATCTGGGAACTCGTCTCGGCCTTCGCCGCTGGCCAGCTCCTTAGGCCCTGCAGCGACAAGCCGTTGGCAACTGCTTTCATGATTCTATGATTCTGCATGTGTCGCTCGAATTTCAGGTGAGTTCGGGGCTTCAAGTGAAAGTACTGTAGGTGCTCCAGCCCTTTCAGGCTAGCGTGCTATGGCTCTTGTAAGAAGATGTTCTTTGACACACCAGTTTAGGATGTCGGAATATGCTAAGGCTGCGTGGCCTTCGTGACATTGCTCGGGCTCGTCATCACGTTTTCTGGCAATTCGTGCCGAGCTTTGCGGAGTGAGCGTTGTTTGGTGGCGGGTTGGCCTTTGGCAAATTAAATGGCCTCCAAGGGTTGCTGCTGCCTCCCTCTCCCTGTCATCGCGCACAGTCTCACGCAGGCGGAGCGGCGGACGCGCTGGCAGTAAAGCATGGCAGCATGGCATGCTACTGCTACGAAACGATATAGTCTGTCTGACACCCGCAGGCTAAATCTCATGGAGACGCACGCAGACCATGTGGATGCTGAAGGACCGGCACTGGGCTTGCAGGGTCAAGGTGAGAGTTGCTCAGCAAAAGAAGGCTGTCTAAATGCCTTGCCTGACAGTTATCAGTGCTTTCAGCCTGCCTGCCAAACACAATGCAAGACAAAGCAAGCAAGCAGATAGACAGTACAGAAGCTGAAAAGTGTAGCTTCTGGACCCGAGCCGTCTCGAAAACTCGAAGTTGGCCTGTGGAGAGGCGTAGCTTGTCCCACTTGGATGCATCGGCAGGATTCTCCGACGACGGCGACTTGGAGGATTGCCAACGTGATTTCGTCACGAGCTGAGCGGTCGAGCATCGTCGACTCGCTCCATGGACAGGACGTTGGTGAGGTTGGGCTCGAGCTCCCTCTCCGTGTCCATGGAGCTAGGTTCGCTCCGGGCCTCTGATTATTGCTGTCAGGGGGATTTTCTGTCTCTCGCCAGGTAGCTACGCGAAACGGCGCTCTCTCGCAGAGACGCCTTCAGCCAATTCCGCGCGAAGTGCCCTTTGTTTCACATCCGCGCGGCCCCGCTCAGTGCGAGCCTGGGCCTCCACGGGGCCCCACGGGGGGGGGGGGTTCCCGGCCCTCAGCCGCCTCGCCCCGTCCTCCCGCTTTTGATTGGTGCTGTTGGCCAAAGTGCTAGCAGCTTGCACGAGAGCTCAGTGACATTAATCGACGGCTCAGGACACTTATGGACACTTTGAGTGCTCAAGGTACTCGAGAATTGCCGGTGGCTGGTGGATTGAATTCGTTCGGTAGTGTGTATTTTCACCACTCGGGACAAGTTAATGGAAGCGGTCCACCTTGCGTACCAGCCCGCTTTGGTGTAATAATGTTCTGAAAGCTGCTGCTGAGAATGCTTTCTCTAGCGGAAGCTGTTCCCACCTTTTTTAAGGTCAAAGCCAGGAGCCTCAGCAATGCATTTTCCGTCTAGAGAGTTTCATCTGTCAATAGTCCCCGCTCGACATCACTGCCTTTGGTGCTTATGCATCGGGTGGCAAGCAGGTTGTGAGTGTTTTGCACTGTTGCTGCTCATAGCAAAAAGTACACGAAGCACAACATGATAACTCATAAAGTCCTCATACTTGGAGAATAAGACCGTGCAGAGCCAACTCATGCAAGCATTGGCTTCACCGCCTTCCATGATCAGCTTGGCTCGCAATACCTGTATGTTTTATGCATTTGTTCTGGTGGCGTCTTTATCCGGAAGGCCAGTGAATCGGCTTGCTGTGCACAGGATTTACTGTTTGCTTGCGCGTAGCGAGTGTGGCGACTGCCACAGCGTAAGATCACAGGCAGGCAGTACAGCTTGCGCTGAGACGAGCAAGCCGGAATGGCCTCTTGGCTTCATGTGTCCCGAAATTCTGAGCTACATGCAGCAGCACGCCCAGATGAAGCCTCTCGGTTTGTTCACTGATACTCGCTGAACGTGCGGGAGAGAGACACTAATGATTAGTTTCATGGAGGCCGAGCCGATAAAGCCAGCACTGGTGCAGAAAGGGGCGGTCAAGGTCTCCTGACTCAATGCACCTTTGCTTCTGAGAGCCATGCTCACACGCTCACATTCGCCTAGCTGCAGGATCCCTCACAAAAGAAGAGGGTTCAGCTGCAAGCTCCTCTCAAGCCTGAAGAGGACAGGTCTGCGGAGCAATGAACTGGGATAGTGACGTGCACCTGCTCTGCTAGGAGGGCGAAGTGGACATCCCGCTTATCGTGACGGACATACAATCTCATGCGCAAGAGATAAAAGCGCTATCGAAAGAGATCAAGGAGCCACAGCCGAAGCCACTGAGCGTCACAACAGCAAGTCATGCGACTGCGACAAGTCCAGAGAATAAAACCTTGCAAGAGCAAGTTGAACAGCGGCTCGGCATGCACAGCTGTGTGCATTTGTCAAGGAAGTCAGATTAAAGGGCATGGCATTTTGGCTCGGACTCCGCTGAGGCTGGAAACTGGCCTTGCGCGCTGCGTGGCTGATTTTCGTGCTCAGGCAGAGGAGGCCTCCCTGCATGTCGTGTTTGGATGTGTTTAGTGCCGTCAACAAAGTCACGGCAGGTGCTGATGAACCACCTTGACAACCTTGAAGAAGTGCAGTTGGCGCATGAGTTCGAGGCCGCAGATAGAGTATGTCCTCTGCTCGTGAAGAGCGAAATCTCGTTGTGCGAAGGTCGCGAACTTGATGGCAGAAAACATGCTGCTCCGCGAAAAGCTAGGCCTCAAGTCGACGGATCAAGTACGAGATGCGAGAGACTCAGTTTTTGCTGCAAGCCAAGTCCTTTGCGATCTTCTCTGTGCTATTGTGTATTCCAAACCAATCAAATCGGCGGGTCAAGGTGATGTTTCAAAACATTGTCCCTGAGCCCAAAAAGAAGCCGCGACGTGGACAGAGGAGCAGCGCTTCATGGAACCGCGAGCATCATGTTGTGGCTTAGGGTTTGTGCCCCGGCAGGAATCAGTTCCAGGACGAAGAAGAATCTGGACCCCAGTCCTTCAAACAGAAGCAGGATGAGAAGGGATTCCCTCCCCCTCCCGGTTCGTGACCAAGAGGGTGTAACGTGAGTATCATGCGAGGGGACCTTGTTTTCAGTAGACCGAGGCCATCAGCAGCAAGGCGGAAGGAACCAGAGAAAGGGAGGGAAGAACCAAGCGCCTGGTGGGAGCTGGCAAGCCTTCATGGCATGGGTTCCCAATGGTGCTGCTATGCAGAGTCCTGCCTGCATTCTGGATTCTGACCTCTGACGGCTATCCACTAAGGCTGATCCTCAGTCAGAAGCTTCTAAGAACAACTTCCTCGTCCAAGAAGTTGCCACTCCATTGTCCGTTGTCCTAGAGTGTAGCCTTCAGGGGTTCTGCCAAAGGGTGGCGGAATGCAGCTTCTGGGTGATTATAGGATTTACCTGGATCCTTGAGGTTCAAGGCTTGTTGCCGGTCGGGGCATCTGGCAGCTGTGGAGCAGAAAGATCCTGCCTGCATCCGAGGAATGCAGAGCCGTGGAAGCCCCTTCCACAGCCCGACATTGCGCAAGCACAGACCCCGCAAGCGCAGGGGAAATCGAAGAAAGAGCTGCTTGACTGCCTAAGAGAAAACCATTCTGCTAAGAACGTGTCCGCTATTGGCCTCTGCTGTAGCACCTTCCCAAAGGAAAAAGAATCCGACCGGGTCAGATCAGCTGGCCCTGACCTGAGAGTCCTTCCTTTCCGCATAGCAAATGCACAGCTACCCGGGCCCAACCGAGTCCGTGATCCCTGGCGTGCCCTCGGAAGACAAACGGAAAGATGACGATGATGACTCGGATAGTGACAGTGGAAGAAGCGCCTTGGCATACCTTGGCTACATCGAGCGTTGGCGTGCCTTGTGCCCCTCAGCAGTCTTCCGAGCTGCTCATATTTTGAGTACCACCATTCCAGATTCTAGATCCAGATGCGCTATGCAAAGGTAATTTGGCCGGAGAGGAGCAGTATGAAATGCTTGAGGCAGGGCTGCGCATGTGAAGCTCGCACAATTAACATTTGTCTGTTGTCAGGTCTGGAAAGCTTCTTCCAAGCAGATGAAGAAGTTCAAGCGTGGTAGCCATGGAGAGACTGAGAGCTCTGTCCCTTTCCGACTCTTTGGCTGCATCTCATGTCTTGCCTTCAAGCTTCAAACTTAAAGATCGGACATCGCACTTCTTTTTGTTGAAAAAGGTGAGGAAGAGGACGAGTACCAGGAACAACCGCCACACGGCTGGATCCTGAACCCGGACTCAAACATACGGATCTCCTGGGATCTTGGGAGCTTGGTGATGGTGCTCTATGACATGGTCATGATTCCCATGCAGGCATACACTTTGCCCGAGAACGTCTTCCTTGACTTTATGGAGTGGTCCACAAGACTTTTCTGGACCTTCGACATCTTCTTCTCCTGCATCACAGGTGTTGTCATGACGGATGGCTCCGTAGAATACAATTTGAAGATTATCTTAAAGCGATACGCAAGAACTTGGCTGACGCTTGACCTGATGATCGTGGTTTCTGACTGGGCCGAAGTGATCTTCTCAACTGGGAGTATGGAAATGATAAACTTGGCGCGCAGCACGCGCATCATTCGAATCGTCCGACTGCTTCGGCTTGTCCGTATGCAGGAGATCATGGCTAATGTGACTGAGCGCATACAGTCTGAGACCCTCGGACCAATGATTCAGGTCGGCAAGGTTACAGTCGTGCTGCTGACGATTTCACACTTCACGGCATGCCTTTGGTTTAGCGTCGGCAATCGCGCTACAACTGAAAATACCTGGGTAAAGATTGAGAACTACGAGACTGCTGGCGTTGATGCTCAGTATTTGGCTTCTCTGCATTGGGCCTTGTCTCAGTTTTCAGGCTTGGAACAGTAGCTTGATCGGCCACGCAGGTGACCGTTTCGGAATTAGCTGTTGGACCTTGCAGGTGGTATGGATGAGATCACGCCTGCCTCGTCGCTAGAGCGGCTCTTCGCAGTGGGCATAGGCAGCTACGACGCAAGCAGCTGGCAGTGCCTTTTCGTAGTGCCCGGTACCCGATGCAGCCGAGGAACCATCATCTTCGTCGTCGCTCTCGTGATGATGGGCGTCTTCACCTCCGGCCTCACGCAGCAGTACATCATCGGAGGCAGCGGAGCCCGTCAGCTCGCGACGTTGAAGCGGTACCTGAAGCAGAACAACGTCTCAAAAGTCATTACGAAGCGAGTGTGCCGAAATGCAAAGCATGCAATCTCAGGGGACTTGACCCCGGAATCTGTAGAATTGCTCCAAGTCATTTCCGAGCCGCTGAAAGTGGAGCTGGCTTTCGAGCCTTGGATGTTTGGATGCTTCAATTTCAATGCAATAGCAAAATCGCCTATGGCCCAAATCCAAAGGCGCATCCCTTGCACTGCCAGCCGAGGACATGTATTCTCAGGTCCTCATGTGGCAGCCCTTTTTCCTGGAGCTGCTTTCCGAGAGCTCGCCGATCATGAAACCGATCTGCCATAGAGCACCGGCCTTGGCGTTTTTTTGCACCAGCGGTGTGCTGGGCCTGTGCGTCAATAAATCCTCTGGCAGGCGATGTCCATGCTTCTCCTCTCCAGTACCGACATTGTCTTCAATTCGGGCGAGGAGCCGGCAGAACCCAAAATGTATATTGTTGTATCAGGTAGCCTGGAGTACACGGACTCCTATGGAGAAGTGGCCCCAGCTGCTGGCCTTCATAGTAGTTGGGCTCAGAGTTGCCGATGAGCTTGATTCGTGGGGATCACGAGTGGGATGGTAAAAGTGCGTTGATGCCGAAAGCAAGGTCGGAGAGAGGCGGTACCTGGCTGAAGCTGTGTTGTGGACACACTGGAAGCACCGTGGAACCTTGACTGCTGTGAGTGATGCCAAGCTGGCAATGCTGCTTGGCGCCTATATTATGGGTTCTTCCGGTAATGTCAAGCAATGCTACTCTCTTCTGGC